CTGGGGGTCCCCCGGCGAAAAGTACCCCGACCAACGCCCGGTCGCCGCCCGACCAAGTCTACTCAGAGATGGTTTTCCTTCTGGGTGCGGCCTCTCAGGCTCCCCAGAGCGCGCTCAGAGTGCCCCAAGAGGCCCCCAAGACTGCCCAAGAGGCCCCCGAGACGCCCAAAGAGCGCTCGAAGACGCCGAAGATGACCCCAAGACGACCCAAAAGGCCCCCAAGACAGCCCAAGAGGCCTCCAAGACGCCCCAAGAGCCTTCCAAGAGGCCTCCGAAGAGAGCCCCAAGAGGCCAAAATCGTTGATTTTCATTGGTTTTTTAGATGTTTTTTGTGTTCTGGCTTTTTCGGCTTCCGGACGCTCCAAGACGGCCCAAGAGGCCCCCAAGACCGCTCCAAGACGGCCCACGAAGCTCCCAAGACGGCGCCGAAACGACCCAAGAGAGCCCTCAAGACGGCCCAAGTGCCGCCCAAGACGGACCAAGAGGCCCCAAGACGGGCCCAAGAGGGACTCAGGAGGGATACCGAGAACTCAAAAATGGAGCCCTCCGTCCCAGAAGGCGCCCAGGAGGTCCCAAAGAGGCCCCAAGAGGCCTCCAAGAGGCCCCAAGATGTCGCCAAGAGGCCCCAGGAGACTCCCAGGAGGCCCAAAAGAAGCCCCAGAAGGCTTCAAACATGTCTCCCAGGCGCCCCCGAACGGCCTCTCAACAGACCCCAAGAGGCCCCCCAAAGAAGCATCTTGACGACGACTCTATTTCGCCCCATCGAGAGACGACCCCCAGGGAACTGCTTCACCATCAAAACTCCCCACGCAACGCGTCCGAACGACACCCGCCCCCAAGAGCGCAACATGGGCAACGAACACACAGACAAAAACCAGCGATGCCATATCACGGGCCGGCGGAATGAGCGAAGCGATTCAATATAAATTGCACAATCTAGATTGCATAGCATAGATTGCCCGACTGAGGCCGCAAAGTAAAGATTGCACAAAACATATTGCACCACATAGAAAGCACCACACATATTGCTCCACACAAATTGCACAGCACACTTTGCATCACGTACATTATGCCACATGGATCGCACCACGAAGGTTGCACAGCATGTTTTGCTGGAGACACAATATTTTGGGTGCACTCTGGCTAGCGCGTGTGTGTATATATGTATGTTCATATATATATATATATATATATATATATATATATATATATATCGATTCGCATGTATATTGCATATATCCGTAGCTGTATGTATCCGCTGGCCCCCTCCAGGGGCGCAAGGCTGCGAAGGTGCGTGCGGTCTGCTGTCATGCGCTATGTGTTGACAGTTGTTGTTTGTAGCTTTGTCTCTCCAATCCTGTTTCCTGCCCCCTGTTTGCTGTCTGCTAGGGGGCCCCGCCGCGTCACCAACCAGCCAACGGCGGGGGGGACCTCAAATACAGGCTGCTCCGGGCCACCCCAGGATTCTCATGGTGACGTCACCGCGCGGCCAGAACGCCTCGAGGGGCCTCCACTATTGCCCGAAGAGGCTCCGAAGAGAGCCTCAGGAGACAAAGACGGCCCAAGATGGCCCCAAGATGTCCCACGATGGTCCCAGGAAGGCCCAGGATGCTGCCAAGACGGCCCAAGAGGCCTCCAAGAGGGAGGCCTTCCAAGAGGGCCCCACGAAGCAAAAATCTGATTTCCCCAACCTTTTTGAAGGTTTTCGGCCTTCTCGCCTTTTCGGCTTTCCGACGCTCCGAGACGGACCAAGAGGTCCCCAAGATCACCTCACGACGGCCCTAGAATTTCCGATGACGGCCCAAGAGGCCCCCAAGACGGCCCCAAGACGGCCGAAGAGAGCCCCAAAACGGTCCAACAGGCACCCCAGACGGCCCAAAAGGGTCCTAGTCCCAAGAGAGACCCAAGAGGGAAACCACGAACCGACAACTCGACCTTTCCGCCCAGAAAAGGGCCCCAGGAGGCACCAAGAAAGCCCCAAGAGGCCCCCAAGAGGCCCCCAAGAGGCACCCCAAAAGGCCCCAAGGTGACCCCCAAGAGACCCTGAATATGCCCCAGGAGGCTTCAACACGGCTTCCAAGAAGCTCCAACAGTGAGCCGCAGACGCTGCCGAGAAGCCTGCCACGAGAAGCACCCACGGCGCTATCCACGCAGCCGCACGCACAAGTAATAGGGGGGGCCGGCGGCAGGAGGGCGGAGTCCTCAAGATATGTACATGTATACACATGAATACATCTACATACATACATATATACACATACATAAAAGAAAGAGGAAGAGAGAGAGAGAGAGAGAGAGAGAGAGAAAGAGAGAGAGAGAGAGAAAGAGAGAGAGAGAGAGAAAGAGGAAGATAGAGAGAGAGAGAAAGAGAGAGAGAGAGAGCGCGAGAGAGAGACATCCGCCCTGCCATCGGCACGCAGTGGAGTGCCCCAAGGCTCATGCAGCTCTGAGAGGTCGAGGGCTTGTGGTTCTCAAAGGTCTTCACGGACCCGAACCCCCCATCTCCCAGGCGGTCACGGGCGGTCCTGCGCCCTGCAAGGGTGTGTCGCCTGACCATTTGGGAGGCCAAGAGAGCCCCAAGACGGGCCAAGGGCCCAAAGTCGTCGAATGATCGGTCCAAGACAGCCAAGATGGCCGCCAGGCCGAAGATGCCCAAAAGACGCCCCAAGAGGCCCCCCAAAGGCCCCCGAATCCGCAACAATCGTTGATGTGCCGAAGGTGTTTGACGGATTTTGGCGTTTTCGCCTGTTCGGCTTCCCGACGCTCCAGCACGGCCCAAGAGGTTCCCAAAACAGCCCAAGTTGGCACCAAAAAGGCCCATGAGGCGCCCAAGACGGCCCCATAGGCTCTCAAAACAGCTCCAAGAGGGGGCCCCGACGGGGGACCCGAATGAACATTTCGAGCTCTCGGCCCCCGGAAGCCCCCATGAGTCTCCAAGAGGCCGCCAAGAAATTCCAAAAAGCCCCCTGGAGGCCTGCAAGAAACCCTAAAAGGCCCCAGGAAGCCGTCAAGAGCCCCCAAGAACCCCCCAAGATGCCCCCAGGAAGCCCTAGAAGGCCACCAGTAAGCTTCCAAGAGGTCTCCCAGAGGCTCCCAGGAAACCCTAGAGGTGCAGCCCAGAGGCCCCCGAGAGCGCTCCCAAGAGACCCCAAAGACCATCCCTGAGGACTCTGACCCGCAATCCAGGCAGGGTGGCGGGATAGGCCGACGGCCATTAGATACAGGTGCGAGAACAACAACTATACAACAACGCGATTCTTCTCGTCACGTGGCGACCCAAGGAGGTGGCTTACGCAGATTACGACCGTATATTGTGGCGACGCGGTGGCGCAAGAGGAACGGACTCCACTTGTACACGGGGTAACTGCCAACGCAAGGGACGCTCACAACTAACACTGCAATCTGTCCACCTCATGTGGCAACGCAGTGGACAAACAAAACTATATAGATACCTACGCATCGCGTGGCAACGGAGGATGTGGAGCGACAATAAACACTACTACATCGGCGCTACGAAAGTTTTGATCCGTTTGGAGTTCCCACAAAGAGAACTATTCGGCGGGAGCGCCATTGCGAATTCGAGCTGAAGAAGTGCGGACCCCTAATTATGTTCGAGAACGTCCTGAGCAGGAGCGCCATTTCGAAATCGAGCCAGAAGGGTGTCGAACTCCAGTGTTCAGGAAGGCCTGGACGGGAGCGCTATTTCAAAATCGAACCCGGAGGGGGTCAAATTCTGTACCGCAGAAAGCCCTGGACGGGACTGCCATTTCGAAATCGAGCCAAAAAGGTTCCGAATTCTAGTTTGGAGGAAGTCTCCGGCGGGAGCACCATGTCGAAACCGAACACGAAAGTTTCGAAATCGTTCGAAATTGTTCGACTGGGGATGCCTCGAGCGAAACCGTCGTTTCGAAATGGCCACACCGTTCGGCATCTAATAGCTTAGATATCGCACCAAAGTTTTCGAACATGTGGTTTTCGCTTGAGACTTTCTCCGCGCAGGAATTTCCGGCTTGATTTCGAAACAATCGGTTGCGAATTCGAAAGGGCGGTTTCGCCCGAGATTTGAGCAGAACTCTGCTTGAATCGAGCATTGTAGTGGGACCCCGCTGCCGAGCGGGCCCCTTTGACGTCTCCTGTCTTGTCGCGGGCGCGACGCCACTGGCAACGCTGCGCCAGGTCCCCGTGGCTCAACGGGAGCCACTGCATTTTGGCCGAGCTTTCGTAGCGGCGAATAAAACAAGGGGGGGCATACTATATTGCTAGTAATTGTCACGCGGCACAGCAGGAAGGACGACGCGGACAGCAACATGCGGAACATATGCTGTTGCATGCGTCCTGCCACGGCGCATGAAATCTCTTCCCCATCCTCGACCGTCGATCCCTCCTTCTCCTCAACCTCGAGATTTGACTTCCCATGGAAGGGATGTGTACATTCTTCAACTCGAAAGGACATGCACTTCTTCCCCAAGGGAAGCGTCCTTCCCTTGGCCTCGCATGGGAGAGAACAAAATGATTGTGCTGGTCGCGTGGAAACGCAAGGCGTGGGGGAGCGAACAGCTCTGCTCGTCACAAGGAAACGCAGGAGGGCAGAAACTAAACTAAGACTGACTTATTCTACGGGTCGTGTGTCAGCGCATGTGGGTCGCCAACAACCATTGCACTCTGCTTGCTAACTGGCAACGCAAGAACCGACGGCGAATCCAGAAAAGAGTCTGCGGTACCCTGAAAACTGTCGTCCAATCAACTGGCCCACATGTCGGGTCTACGCAATTCACGGCGAAGCGGTTTCCCGGGCTGGGCGAAAGGATTCTGCCTCTCGCATTCTTTTTTCCAATGTTTCACCCAGCACCCCCAGAAGCACATTGGAGTGCCCGACTCCCCTCAGAATTCACGAAGGTCCCCTTTTCCCTGCGAGCCCCTTGCAGTCGAACCCTGTGAAACAATTCATGGGGAATCTCAAAGCAACGCTTGAAACGGAGACTGCCCGCTCCATTTCCCACCGGAGCTCGATCAGCTTGGCGAGGAAGCTGCAGAGGATCCGGAAACCCACAGCCCCGTTGCCATGCTCGAGCATGCCAGCGATGCTCTCGTCTCGCAGAAAAGCCAGAATGTCCTGCCCCGAGCTTCAGAAATGCTTCGATTGAGCACTCAGCAGCGAGGAGCAACACGGCGGAGCACGATTCATTTGCATACTGGAACACCTGCACGTCAAAGAGGCTGGGACTTCTTGTCGTGAGGCTGGGAACTAGTGATCCAACTCACTACGCGTCCCAGCGGCGGAGGACAGAACGACAAAACACTCTGACGACTTCCGCCTCCTCCTGACCCTGAGCTGACCTGACTCGTGGCGGTCGTACGTCGTCGTGCAGCCGCCTGTCCTGCCCCTCCACCGCGGCTGGGTGTGCCTCCTCCTCCTCCTCCTTCCCCCCTTCCTCGTCCCCCCGGTTCCCCCCTCCATCCCCACCCCTCTTAACCCGCCGTGCTCGGTACCCCCGCTCCCCGGGCCACTGCTGTCGGTCGGGCCCGAGCGCCAGCGGACAGGTGCCAAGCTCGGCCCTGCGGCAGGCTCCAAGGAGGAGGAACGGCTGAACGATCCGAACACCCGCTCCGAGGGCCCCGCCCAGCTGCAGCCCGTCGGGGCCTGGGGCTGTCCTCCTCCCGGCCAGGACGGCCGAAGGAGGCGCCCTCAGTCTGGCCCTCGGCCTCTTCACGGATGGGCTGGCGCAAACGGCTACAAACAGAACACCTGGGGCCTCTCGGCCGCGTCTGATGCTGCGTCTTTGGCCTGGCCGGGGAAAGACATTGGCCATGACTGGCACATCAGAAATATATATATATATAGAGAGAGAGAGAGAGAGAGAAACAAAAAAATAGAAGAGACTGAGAGAAGAGGGAAGAGAAAGAGAGAAAGAGAGAAAGAGAGATGGCGAGGCAGGGAGAGCTAGACAGCGAGGAAGAGGAGGCGGACGGAAGCGACGCCTCACGTGTCACACCGTTGTCGCCACACGGGGAATGCTATACGCCGGCACGGGGGGCAGAGCCGACCGCACCATACAGCGAAGCTGTGCTGGCAGTATCGGGAAGCACGCCTGGGCCCAGCTAGACGATGGTGATTTCAGCTGATTTCTGCCGAGCGGGGCACAGCTCATCAGTGCTGCGGGTTAAGCTTCGAGTAGGGGGTCGACTACAGAATTGATTTGCCCCAGACTGAATTCTTCTTGTCGAATCCACGAGCAATCCGTAGAACTTTCGAAGATGTACGAACGGTTGACGTATTTTTGTTGAAGGGTCGACGTGGAAATCAACGTTGGGGTAAATCAACTATGTAGTCGATCCCCCAGTCGAAAGCTGGGGGGAGAGCAGTCTGCCCCAGCACCTGCAATCCACATCACAACGAAGTCGAACACCGCCGATCCACAGTAACAGAAGCCTTGGTAGTGATAATTTTGAGCTGGCCTAACCTGGGCTGAGAAAGCGCAACGGCAACTGGCAACGTGCACACATGAGAGAGAGCGTGATCCACCGCCGTTTTACTGTGGAAAATTGCCGCCCTTTTCCTCCGGAACCCGAGCCGCCCCCCCCCCTCGAAAATCCCCCCACCCCCTGCTGGACCCCCCCCCCTTCCCCCGCCAACCGGCAACCCCCCCCTCCCAAAACCCCTCCCCCCACCCCTCGACTTTGAAACCCGGGGGGGGTCAATACCGCCCCGAACCCCCCACCGCCCACCCCCCCCCCCCGAAAACGGACCGGGGGGGTCACTACTGGTCGAATCACTGAGCTGTCCCAATGTTCCCACCACTGTCCCACTGTCCCCACCACTGCCCACTGTACCCTGTCCCATTGTCCCCGCCGTCCTCGCCACCGCCTTCACACTGTCCCCACCACCACTGTACCCTCCACTGTCCTACTGTTTCCACCACATTCCCACTGTCCCCACACCACTGTCCCCACCACCACCGTCCCCACCACTCCCACCACTGTCCCCCCACCACTTTCCCGCCTCGTCCTCACCATTGTCCCCACCACTACCGTCCCCACCACTGTCCCACTGTCCCCACCACTGTCCCGCTGTCCCCTCACCACTGCCCCCACCACCACCGTCCCCACCACTGTCCGCATCCGCACCCCCCCTCGGTTTTCGAGGGGGGGGGGTTCGAACCGGTAGTGACCCCCCCGGTTTTCGAGTTCGGGGGGGCGGGGCGGAAGGGGTTCGAACCGGTAGTGACCCCCCCCCAGTTTTCCAGAGGGGGGGGGAGGGGGGAGGGGTTCGAACCGGTAGTGACCCCCCCCCCGGTTTTCCGCCAGCAGCGGTAGAACACGCTCTTTCATACATGAACACTCGGATGTGCCATGCTGCATCGGTTAACTTACCCCCGCATCCATCTATTACCGTGATGCATGCTGCAGGGGAAACCGATGATGAGACTTGGGCCACAGCCTCAATGGGAAACTGAAAGCCGGTCATTATATATAATGGGCTGGTCACGCAAGCCCAGCCGTCATTATATAGAATGGGCTGGTCTCAGCTGGCAAGAGACAAGCTGAGAGAACATAGAAAACAAACAAACACACCATAACACAAAAGCATAACGTTGAAGCCACGTGAAGTTGTTGTGAAGTAGACCCAACCGAGCTGGACGCACACACGCAACCAAAAGCAACTAGATGGAACACTCTAGACGAGGATGCATAGTTGCTCGCAGCCAGGCTGCGCTAAATAGAAGCCAGCCAAGAACTAGCGTTCAGACAACATGAGTTAAGCAACAGTATGCCGCGGAGGGCAAGGCTAGGCTCATCTATCACAATCGGTCCAGCACAGCCGAACCTAATATATGTTCAGCTACTCGAAAATAAAACAGGGACCTTCAAGGCCAAGCCAGCCGAAATGTCGCCGTGAAAGTGGAGTCTTGGCTTATCTAGGATAGCCCTAGGCATAATCATTCCCTAATGCAATGTTTAGGTCAGAGAGAGCGTGATCCACCGCCGCGTTACTGTGGAAAATTGCCGCCCTTTTCCTCCGGAACCCGGGGGTCCCCCCCCCCCCCTCCGAAAATCCCCCCCCCCCCCCCCCCTGCTTCTGGACCCCCCCCCCCCCCTCTTCCCCCTGGCAAAACCCCCCCCCCTCACTAACCTCCCCCCCCCCCGTCCTCGCCCCTCGAAAGCCGGGGAGTCATACCGGTTCGAACCCCCCCCTCCAAAAACCGGACGGGGGGGTCACTACCGGTTCGAACCCCTCCCCACCCCCCCTCTCACCGCCAGCAAACGACTCCGGGTCCCTACCACCGTCCTCACCACATCCCCCACTGTTGTTCCCAGCACCACTGTCCTCACCACCACTGTCCCCACTGGTTCCACCACCGCCCCTACTGTCCCCACCAGTGCCACCACCACTGTCGCACTGTCCCCACTGTCCCCACCACTGTTCCCACCACGGCTCCACTCTCCCAACTTTCTCCACGGCCCCAACCACTGCCCGACTATCCCCACTGTCCCCACTGTCCCACTGACTCCTCCGCTGTCCCACTGAGCTGTCCCACTGTTCCCACCACTGTCCCCACTGTCCCCACCACTGTCCCCACTGTACCTCTGTCCCATTGTCCCACCGCCGTCCTCGCCACCGCCTTCACCACTGTCCCCACCACCACCCTCCACTGTCCTACTGTTTCCACTACATTCCCACTGTCCCCACACCACTGTCCCCACCACCACCGTCCCCACCACTGTCCCACTGTCCCGACTGTTCCCACCATTGTCCTCACCATTGTCCCCACCACTACTGTCCCCACCACTCTCCCACTGTCCCCACCACTCTCCCGCTGTCCCCTCACCACTGTCCCCACCACCACCGTCCCCACCACTGTCCGCATCCGCACCCCCCCTCGGTTTTCGAGAGGGGGGCGGGGGGGGGTTCGAACCGGTAGTGATCCCCCCCGGTTTTCGTGTTCGGGGGGGGGGGGGGGGGGTCGAACCGGTAGTGACCCCCCCCCCTTTTCATGATGAACTGGGGGGGGGGAGGGGTTCGAACTGGTAGTGGCCCCCCCCGTTTTCCGTCCGGAGGGGGGGGGAGGGGTTCGAACCGGTAGTGACCCCCCCCGGTTTTCCGCCAGCAGCGGTAGAACACGCTCTTTCATACATGAACACTAGGATGTGCCATGCTGCATCGGTTAACTTACCCCCGCATCCATCTATTACTGTGATGCATGCTGCAGGCGAAACCGATGATGAGACTTGGGCCACAGCCTCAATGGGAAACTGAAAGCCGGTCATTATATATAATGGGCTGGTCATGCAAGCCCAGCCGTCATTATATAGAATGGGCTGGTCTCAGCTGGCAAGAGACAAGCTGAGAGAACATAGAAAACAAACAAACACACCATAACACAAAAGCATAACGTTGAAGCCACGTGAAGCTGTTGCGAAGTAGACCCAACCGAGCTGGACGCACACACGCAACCAAAAGCAACTAGATGGAACACTCTAGACGAGGATGCCTAGTTGCTCGCAGCTCTGTCCTTAGTCTAATAGGACAGAGCCCTGGCAAAGCTGAAAATACAAGTCAAAGCAACGTAAACACAAATTCTAAACACGCACGAAGTCACGTAATCATTACCGACGCAAACATACTTGTCAAATGTGGCTGTGAACCCGCTCACCGTGCTCATCTGAGCACAGGTAGAGGAAGGCGGTTTTGTTCACTTCGGGTCAACGCACCCGAACAAGTGGCAGATAACAATGCCGACCGCGACCCAGGAGAACAGGTCTCCGAAACGTGCTCGGAAATGCGGCCCAACGGCGTCACGCCTTTTGAACCTGCCTGAAGAACAAAAGCACCGTGTGACAACGCGCGCTGGTCCTGGCCCGCCACGCGCATTCGGCCTGCCGCCCAGTGGGTGAAGACTTGCCTTTCCAATGGCACCACCTACGGTGCCCTCATCTCAGCAGCATGCACGGGCTGCTTGCTTGCCCCGGTCTTCGGCGGCTGAGGCCGCCTGCGCACTCCTGGGTGGCGAAAGATTCTGTACGCCTCAGCCCCCCCCCCTTATAGTGGGCCCTGGAAACGGCAGGGCCGTGTTTTCACCGTTTTCGAAAAAATGTCCCTTGAAAATGGAAACGGTAAAAAAACAGCGACCGGAAACAGCAGAAAAACGGCTCCGCGACTGGAACCGGAACCAGCATCGGAAAAAAAAAACGGCGATGGAACCGGCAACATATCGGCGACGGAACCGGCAAGAAAACGGCGAAACGGGCCTGCCGACCGTTCCCAGGGTCCACTAAGAAAGGGGGGTGGCCCGCGTTTCTCCTCTGCGCCGCCCTTCTGCTTCCCCCACTTCCCTGCCGAGCCCCAGTCCAGGCGCGGCCGGCCCGGCGGTCCGAAGGCGTTGGCGGCCGCCCTCGCTGCGGAGCCATGCGACAGCGTGCCAGCAGGAATCCACGGGTGGCAAAACCGCAGATCCGAGATCCCCGAAAGGAGCATCACATACTTGTACTGCTGATGCCCCTGTGCATGGCGCGCTCGCGATTCGAACCCGCCAGGTGCTCAGATCGAGCAGTTCCTTGTGCAACTGCCCGTGGTGCTCACCTGCCCGTCCCCCATCGACGCCCCTCGGCTATCACGAGGCGGGTCTGAGGGAAGTGAGCCCTTCGGAGACGCCCCGAAGGGGGGCGTCCAAGAGGGGGCCCAGACCCCCGACGTCATGATTTTTTCATGACGTCGACCCCCAGAGGTTTGGACCCATTCCCCAGGACCGGTGTTTCCTCCTCAGTCGTTTTTTGACGGTCCCGAGGCCCGGCATGGGGCCCCCGGAGGCCGAAAATATGGAAAAACCTCCCGTTGTGATTTTTTCATGACTCGAGGGGGTCTGGGGGGGTCGCAGATTCTGGCCCCGCCCCGAGCCCTGGACTGCCGAGCTGCTGCCTTCCTCGTCGGCCGGTCGGGGGCAAACGGGGGAAAAAACTACACCTGCCAGTGCGGGCCTCCGACGCTGCGCCCCGCCCCCCCCACTTGAGCAGGGACCGGCCGTCCCTGCCTCCCTGTTTGAAGGGGAACTGGGACACACAAATAATTACACACAAATACAAGATATGCCCCATACTTTCGCATATGTTCTTGGTTTTTGTCTTCCCCCTCCACTGCCCATCTTTTCCCATCTTTTCTGGGAATCGCCGATGAATTGTGTCTGTGTGTGTTTTTCCCCTCCTGACTGTTGGCCTGCCACGACTTGCTCTCAAGACCCCAGCCCAAACTTACCAGCCTGGAGCATATCCCTATCCCTATGCTGGGCACCTCCTCATCACGATGCCGATCTTAGGGATTCCCTTATTTTTTGAGGGCGGATCCCTACGATTGTCATCGCCTTTAGGCGTGTCAATCTTAGGGATGGGGATACGCTCGAGGCTGGTAACAAACTGCTCGAATAACAACAACAATGTTCTCAGAAGAACAACCGCCCGAGGTGCTAAAACAGGACAGCCCCAGCCAGAAATGTGCTGAGAGCATCCCGTGCAGACCACAGAAAGGTTTGCAAAACATTCTTCGGTTGGCCTCTGGCCCCATAGGCGAGCCGGGACGCTTCGCCACTCCTTGGTAAAACAGGGCTGGGATCGGGATAAATCGCTCCAGAGCGTTCCGAAGCGCTCTCAGAGCGCTCCGGAACGCTCTGGAGCGGCCGCGGCGCCCAATACATCCCCCAAACCCGCCGACTCTAAGAGATTTCGAGTTATCCCGATCCGATTTTGTCCCGATCTTCGCGTCGCTTGACCTCGTGCCTGTGCATGGAGGAGGAGGAGGAGGAGGAGGCGGAGGAGGAGGAGGAGGAACAGGAGGAGGAGGAGGAGGAGGAGGAGAAGGAGGAGGAGGAGGAGGAGGAGGAGGAGGAGGAGAGAGGGGGGGAACAGAGGACGCCGCACATGGTAGAGGACAAGATAAGGTGTCCGGGTTACCGTAATATCTGACGTCCTACCCCTCCCTTCCCATCCCTTACCCATGTGGCGCTGATTTTTCTCTATCAGCGGACGCGGGTCGTAGAGCGGACTGTGCTCCGGGAGGGCGTGGCGTATGGGTGGTGGTGCGCGTGCGTGCGTGCAGCTGAAGCTGCAGCAGCGTTGTGTGCGTTGCTTGCGCAAGTGGAGTTTGAGTGCGTGCGTGTGTGGCTTGTGGTGGTGGTGGGGTGGTGGTGGTGGTGGTGCGTGGTGATGGTGGTGGTAGTGGTGGTGGTGGTGGTGGTTGGTGGTGGTGTGGTTGGTGGTGTTAGTGGTTTTTTATGACCCGGTTGGTGGTGGTGGTGGTGTTTGGGGTGGTAGGGATGGTGGTGTGGGTGGTGGTGGTGAGTGGTGGTGGTGCTGGTGGTGGCCGTGGTGGTGGTGGTGGTGCGTGGTGGTGGTCGGTTGGTGGCTGGCGCGGGGTTGGCGGGCGGATCGGCGCCTCCCCCCCCGAGGAAAGAGGCCCGCGCTGGGGCGAGAACGCCATCCTGAACGACGGAGGCCAAACACCAATCCGAAAATGAGGCCCACGCTGCAGCGGGAGCACGATTCGGAACGATTCGGGAGCAGAAATGAAGCCGGCGCCTCAGCGAGTGCAGCATTTCGAAAAAAAACACCAGCGAAAACCCGTTTCCCGGGAATCCTGTGTGTAAAAAACAATACTCGGGGGGGTGTCGGATATCTTCGGGACGCCATCAGGGGAAGTAGGAGAGTATTTTCACGTTGTGTAATTGTGGAGGAGGAGGAGGAGGAGGAGGAGGAGGAGGAGAGGAGGAGGAGGGAGGGGGGAGGAGGAGTGGGAGAGATGAGGAGCGAGGAGGAGGAGGAGGAGGAGGAGGAGGAGGAGGAGGAGGAGGAGGGGAGTGGAGGAGGAGGAGGAGGAGGGGAGGAGAGAGGAGGAGGAGGAGGAGGAGGCAGGAGGAGGAGGAGGAGGAGGAGGAGGAGGAGGAGAGGAGGAGGAGGAGGAGGAGGAGGAGGAGGGTGGAGGAGGAGAGGGGCGAGGAGGAGGGAGGTAGGAGGAGGAGGAGGAGGAGGGGGAGGAGGAGGCAGGAGGAGGAGGAGAGAGGAGGAGGAGGAGGATGGAGGAGGGGAGGAGGAGGAGGAGGAGGAGGAGGGGGAGGAGGAGGAGGATGGGAGGAGGAGGAGGGAGAGGAGGAGGAGGAGGAGGAGGGAGGAGAGGAGGGGAGGGAGAGAGGAGGAGAGATGAGGAGGAGGAGGAGGAGGAGGAGGAGGAGGAGGAGGAGGAGGAGGAGGAGGAGGGAGGAGGAGCAGCAGGAGCAGGAGCAGGAGGGCAGGAGAAGCGAGGAGGAGGGGAGGAGGAGGAGGAGGAGGAGGAGGAGGAGGAGGAGGAGGATGGAGGAAGGAGGAGGAGGAGGAGGAGAGAGGAGGAGGCGGGGAGGAGGAGGAGAGAGGGGTAGGAGGTTGGCCCCTCCCCGAAAATCTCCTCGGTCTGCAGGTCCTGCAGCCACTGCACGAGGCCCGGCTCCGCGAAGAGGCCGCCGGCCGCCGGGCCCTGGAGAGAGAGGCCGCCGAGCCCCCCCCCTCCGCGCTCTCCGCGGCTGCGGCGCCGGCCAGGGAGGGCAGCGGCGGGGGGCAGAGAGGGCAGAACAGAGGAGGAGGAGGAGGAGGAGGAGCAGGAGGAGGAGGAGAGGAGGAGGAGAGGAGGAGGAGGGGAGGAGGGGCGAGGGGGGGAGGAGGAGAGGAGGAGGAGGAAGGAGGAGGAGGAGGGAGGAGGAGGAGGAGGAGGAGGAGGAGGAGGAGGAGAAGGAGAAGGAGCCGCCGCCGAGCCCCCCCCGCGCTCTCCGCGGCTGCTGCGCCGGCCCAGGGAGGGCAGCGGCGGGGGGCAGAGAGGGGCTCCGCTGCCGAACCCACTCTCCGCGAAGCAGCAGCCATGGCGGGCAGCAGCGGGAGCCAGAGAGGGGCAGCAGGGGGGAATAGAGGAAGACAAGCACATACACATAAACTTTCCACGGTCCGCGAAAATTTGTTGGACCTGCGCTGGGCCCCCCTCCCTGGCGCGCGCAGCGCGCCAGGGGCGGCGCCGGAGGTGCCGCCAGGGGAGCCCAGGGTGGGTCCAAGAAATCCGCGCGGAGCGCCAAACGTTTACATTTGTAGCGTGTTCTCTTCTTCGATGCGAAGGGAGGCAGCGTCCTCGTCGGCTCGGGCCGCAGGCATCGAAGTCCTGGGCAAGGCGCTGCCAGGAGATCCGACGAGGGCGCCTGCAAAAACCAGGAACGGGGCGCGGAGATGTTCTATGCCCTCCAGCGGCCCACGAGGGGGGAAGGGGCCCCTGCGTCCTCCTCCTACTCCTCCTCCTCCTCCTCCTCCTCCTCAGCATGATCATCATCCTCCCCCGCCCACTCCTCCTCCGTGTCATTAAGTAATCATCCGTCCTCCCTCCTCCTCATCAGCATCATCATCATCCGTCCATCATCATCATCATAATCATCATTCATCACATTCATCATCATTCTCACCATCATCATCATCATCATCATCATCATCATCATCATAATAACCATCACCATCACCATCATCATCATCATCATCATCATCATCATCATCATCATCATCATCATCATCATCATCATCATAACCATCACCATCACCATCATCATCATCATCATCATCATCATCATCATCATCATCATCATCATCATCATCATCATCATCATCATCATCATCATCATCCCCCGCCCACTCCTCCTGCTCGTCCTGCTCCTCCTCCTCCTCCACCATTGTCGTTCCCTGGTCCTGGGGCAGGCCTCCTCCTCCTCCTCCGCCTCCTCCACTCGTTCTCCTTCTAAGTAACTCCCCCCTGCCGCACGCCCAAGCGTGTCGGCAGGGCGGGCCCCGGCGCTTCGCCAGAGACTTCCTCGCCACCTGAGCTCCTGAGGCTTGAGATGTGCAACCTATTCACAAATTGAAGGCGGGTTGGTTTTCAAAATAAGGCTCTCGCGTTGGCGCCGAACACATTCGTGTCTTGAAGCTTGCAGCAGCTTCACGGACGGAGGCCGGAAACCGTTTCACCATGTGTCTCTCGCCTGAGCGCCGCCCACATTCGTCTTACCAGCTTGCAAGAGCTTCCAGCATGGAGGGCGGTTGGTTATCAAAATGTGGCTCCCACCTTAGCGCCAAACACATTCGTCTTTAAATTTGGCAACAGCTTCAAACATGGAGGGAAATTAATTTTGAAATGTTGCTTCCGCTTGAACGCCACGCACGTCCGTCTTTCTCTGGCATCGTGCAAGGTTGTCAACACGCAACAGTCACGTCCATTCGCGGTGTTGAAGGCTCAGGGAACGGTGTTCTGGGACGGATCTTGATATTCTGGACGCAACAATTATGGTGATTCGCGGTGTTTCAATCACAGAATTGGCGGCTGTCTTCAAATAGGGCACCTCCAACAGTGAAAACCAATTCTTACAGAGACCTGTGACCTATGAGGGAACTTGGAGGGAGGGTACATTGCAACATCGCCGATGCGTCTTGCGCAAGCACTGGTCCTCCTCCTCATCATTCTCCTCCTCGCTCTCCCGCCCCCTCCTTCTCCCTCTCCTTCTCCTCCTCCTTCTCCTCCTCGTCCTCCTCCTCCGCCTCTTCCCTCTCGTCCCTCTGGTCCTCCTCCTCCCTGTCGCCCTCCTCGTCCTCAGCAGCCTCCTCCTCCTCGTCGGGGTGGGGGAGCAGCAGCAACAGCGCTGGCAGTGTGTGACCGCTGCCTCGGCGGGGGAACCCCGAGGGGGTGGGGGGGGGGGCACGCGGGCGCTGCGCATGGGAGAGCCCGGAGACCTGCAGAGGCAGGCCTGGGGGATGGTGGAGCGGGGCCACCTGCAGGGAGGGAGGGGCCAGGGGAACGCAGGGCCCAGGGAGAGTGGGGTAGAACGGCGGGAGGCGAATCGGGATGAGAAGGGGCGAGGAGGAGGAACTCGGAGCCCGGAGCTCGAAGATCCGCGGAGCGATGCCAGAGGGCATCGTTGCCGGGGGTGTGCACTACGCTGAAGACGCAGTGCAGACCAGGAGGAAAAGGAGGAGGAAGAGGAGGAGAGGGAGAACCAGAGTAAACTCAAGGGTCATCAACGATGTTGGAGAAAACCTCACTCCAAGCTCCCTCTTCACAGACCCCATACAACATTTCATGTCCACTGAGGGAACTACCTCGTTGGAAAACAACCGTTTGAAGACCCTGAGGCATGCAACAACAATGTTCTTGGGAACCTAACTGCACGGATCAACCTGACTGTTGCCTCTTCACGATCCTGAGTCGTGCTAGAACGCCATTCCTGAGACTTCAACACCGCGAATCAAAGTAATTGTTGCACCCTCATGTTCCTGAATCCTTCCCAAAACACAATTTCTGGCACGCTGCCCATAGGAATACGTAAAAGTCTCGCAAATAGCTTAATCGAATGTGCGCAGCGCAAATTGAAAACGATTCGCGAGGCTCGGGTAACTTTTAATAACACAACGAATGTGCGCGTTACTAGGCGAGAGCCACATTTTGAAAACGGCCTGCCCTCCATCTGTGAAAATGTTGCCAATGTTTAAGCTTCAGGGCCATAAATTGTGAGGAAGTCTCAGGCGAAACGCCCAGCCCGCCTTAAAAACTGGCCTCGGGGTGCGTCAGGGAGAAGTTACTGATAAGGACAAGGACTGGAGGAGGAGGAGGAGGAGGAGGAGGAGATGGAGGAAGAGGAGGAGACGGAGGAGGCGGAGAGGGGAAATGAATGCAAGGACGAAAAGCTGCTTGAGGAGCCACAGGAGGAATATGAGGAGCTTATCATGTGTGTTGTAGGCCACGTTCCAAGCCGCCCGAGGCGCCGAAGCCCCGAGAGAAGAGAGATGGCGGAGATACACTCGGCAGGTTCTCAGAAAGAGGCCACGCAGCGCCGCGCCGACACACACACACACACACACACACACACACACACACACACACACACACACACACACACACACACACACACACACACACACACACACACACACGCACGCACGCACGCACGCACGCACGCACGCACGCACGCACGCACACACACAGAGACAGCCGCGCAGCCAGCTCCCCGTACAGAAGTCCATTGGCGGGGCTGCCGCATCCAAGGCGGCCGCGTTTGGGTGCTGGTGAAGCGAGTGCTGGCGCCGAAGAGGCGGAGTCGCGACCTGGGGAGGCCAGAGGTCGGTTAGCGACGGCCTCGCCCGAAGGATCCACTCGACTTCTGGCCACCTCTGCTGCGGCACGACGTGTGCCGCGCGTCCTGCCGCAGCGCGTCTTGGGCCACTACACTCTTTCCAAGAGACGCAATAGGAACCTGACCTTTATGGCCTGGATCTAAGGAGCGGCCCGATAACCAGGGCCAGTCCAGAGCCCAGTGCGGTCCTCGTTTCAGCATCTTGGCTGTACACTGCTTCTCGGTGCACCCTTCGGTTCGGCTGCCGCCTTCTGCCCATGGCCGCCAAGCTGTGCTCAGCTGGGGCTGCAGCTCGACTTCCGGCCGCCTGCCGCAACACGTCCTGCTGCAGCCGCCCCTGGGCCACCAGGCTCGGCTCGAGCGAGTCCGCGCGCCCATTTGCTGCAGCACCTCCCTGGCCGCAGAGGTGGACCGCAACACGCCCCGCTGCAACTGCCCGCTGGCGGCAGCTACCTCTGCTCAAGCGGGGCCGCGCGGTCCCTCCCCAGCTGCCTCACACGGGCGGCGGACCACGTCTTGCTGCAGCTACTCGCTACCAGCGGAGGGTGCGCCGGAGGCGGAGGAAAGGGGGGAGCAGGACCTCAGGGAGCAGCGTGGGGCAGGGGCCTCGGCTCCCAGGAACTCTAGCGGGGTGCAGCCCCGCCAGGCCCTGTGCCGCTCCAGATCCACTGGACCGGCAACTGCAGCATGAGGAAGGAACGTGGGGGCGTGGAGCACGCGCGCGCGGGTGTGTGTGTGTGTGTGTGTCTGTGTGTGTGTGTGTGTCTGTCTGTCTGTCTGTCTGTCTGTTTGTCTGTCTGTCTGTCTGTCTGTCGTCTGTCTGTCTGTCGGTCTGTCTGTCTGTCTGTCTGTCTGTCTGTCTGTCTGTCTGTCTGTCTGTCTGTCTGTCTGCCTGTCTGTCTGTCTGTCTGTCTGTCTGTCTGTGTGTGCGTGTGTGCGTGCGTGCGTGCGTGCGTGCGTGCGTGCGTGCGTGCGTGCGTGCGTGCGTGCGTGTATTTGTGTGTGTGGCGCGTGGACGGCGTCTGAGCCGCCCCTGGCGGGTCAAGTGCGCGCTCGGGGTGCTGTCTGGGAGCACCTCTGGCTGGGGAGCACATCATGCAACTGCTCCTCCTCCTCCTCCTGCTCTGGCTCCTGCGGCTGTTCCTTCTCCTTCCACTCATCCGTGAACTTTACATGCACAGCACAGCTGGATGCACGCGCGCGGAATATAGGAGTCGCGGCACACGGCCCCTGCTTCGGCTCATGTGAAGAACTGTCCTGTCGCTCCGCCATGTCTTCGACGCCCAGGAAGTCGACCACCGAAAGAAACTGCGCGAAGCCAGCGCGGAAGCCTGGGCACTTAGCGCGCGCACGCGACGGGCTCTCAAACTCTCAGTGGATGGACAGAGATTTCTGCCCTGGTGCTCGAGCTCGAGCGAGGAGCAACGCGAGCCAGAAGATGCGCACGAGAAGCAGGCGGGCCCACAGCAGAACTACACTCGCGGTGCCCCGTGGCCAGCAGCAGCAGCAGCGCATGCACACATCGCTCATGTTCAATCGCGTTGTTTCTCTCCGACCATCCTGTGGTGTTGGGTCCTTGTTTTGAAGAGACAGCGCCCCGCGTCCGTCCTCCTCCTCCTCCTCTTCCACCATCCTCCCCGCCCTGCGTGCCTGTCCTCTACGCATGTCAACAATTTCGGCGCACCCCTCACACGCTTCGTGGCCCCGTGGGGGGCTCCATCGAAGGCCCCACAGGCAACATTCGCATGCGTCAGCCCAAGCCAGCACGGCGCTTCGTTGCCCCATTGGGGGTCCCACCGAAGGCCCCAGTGGCGACGTTCGCATGCGTCCCGCCCCATCGGGAGCTCCACCGAAGGCCCCCAAAGCGATGTTCGCATGCATCCGCCCCACCCAGTACAGCGCTCCGAGGCCCCATGGGGAGCTCCACCGAAGGCCCCCAAAGAGACGTTCGCATGCGTCCGCCTGTTTTGTGGCCCCATATGGAGCTCCACCGAATGCCGCAGTAGCGACCTTCGCACGCGTCCGCCCCACACAGTACAGCGCCTCGTGGCCCCACAAGGGAGCTCCACCGGAGGCCCCAATAGCGACCTTCGCACGCGCCCGCCCCATCCACTACAGCGTTACGTGGCCCCATAAAGCTCCACCGACGGCCACACTGGCGACGTTCGCATGCGTCCGCCCCACCCAGTACAGCGTTTCGTGGCCCCAGAGGGAGCTCTACCGAAGGCCCCCAAACCAACGTTCGCATGCGTCCGCACCACCCAGTACAGCGTTTCGTGGCCCCACAGGGAGCTCCACCGAAGGCCCCAAAAGCGACGTTCGCATGCGCCCCCCCCGCTTAATGTAACGCTTCATGGCCCCAGACAGAGCTCCATAGGGAGTTCCACCGAAGGCCCCAGTGGCGACCTTCGCATGCGTCCCCCCGCCCATGTCGGCACGCTCCCCACACGCGTCGTGGCCCAACGTGGTTCACCACCGAAGGCCCCAGTGGCGACGTTCACGGCGGCCCCGAACAATTTCGGCGCACCCCTCACGCGCTTCAGGGGGGGTATACCTAACGTCCCAGTGGCAGCGCTTGCATGGTGGTCCCGCGCAATTTCGGCACAGCCTTTACACGCTTCGCGGCCCAACGAAGAGCTCTACCGAAGGCCCCAATGGCGACGTTCGCATGCGTCCGCCACACCCAGTACTTCGTTTTGACGTTCACATGCGCCCGCCCAACTCAGTACAGCGCTTCTCGGCCCCATAAGGATATCCCCAGGAAGCCCCAATGGCGACGCTAGCATGCGTCCGCCCCACCCAGTACAGCGCTTCATGGCCCCATAGGGAGCTCCACCGAAGGCCCCAGTGGCGAAGGTCACGTGCGCCCGCCCCACCCAGTACAACGCTTCGTGGCCCCGGAGGGCTCCACCGAAGGCCCCAATGGCGACGTTCGCATGCGTCCCCCCGCCCAGTACAGTGTTTCGTGGCCCCACAAAAAGCTCCTCCGAAGGCACCCAAACCGACGCTCGCATGCGTCCGCCCCGCCCAATACAACGCTTCATCGTATCATAGTGAGCGCAAGCGAAGGCCTCAATGGCGACGTTCGCGTGCGTCTGCCCAGCCCCATACAGCGCTTCGTGGCCACTTTCGTGGCCCCACTAGGGAGCTCCACCGAAGGCCCCAGTGCCGAAGGTCGCGTGCGTAAGCCCCACCCAATACAGCGCTTCGTGGCCCCACTAGGGAGCTCCACCGAAGGCCCCAATGGCGACGTTCGCATGCGTCCGGCCCACCGCGTACAGCGCTTCGTGGCCCGATCGGCAGCTCCACCGAAGACCCCGGTGGCGACGTTCGCCTGCGTTCGCCCATAGGGAACCCTACCACAAGCCCCAATGGCGAAGTCCGCATGCGTCCGCCACACCCAGTACAGCGCCTCGTGGCCCTATACGGACCTCCACCAAAGGCCCCAGTGGCGACGTTCGCACGCGTCCGCCCCACCCAGTACAGCCTTCCGTGGCCCAGTAGGGAGCTCCACCGAAGGCCCCAGTAGCGATCTTCGCACTCGCCCGCCACTCTCAATACAGCGTTTCGCGGCCCGATAAGCAGCTCCACCAGAGGCCCCAGTGGCGACGCTCCAATGCGCCAGCCGCGCCCAAGTGCAGCGCTTCCTGGCCCCATAGGGAGTTCCACCGAAGACCCCAGTGCCGACGTTCGCATGCGTCCGCCCCGCCCAGTACAACGCTTCGTGGCCCCATACGGGGGCTTCACCGAAGGCCCCAATGGCGACGTTCGCATGCGCCCCCCCTCCCATTTCGGCACACCTCTCACACGCTTCGGCCCCTCCCCCCTCATTTCGGCCCCCCCCCCCCCATTTCGGCCCATAGGAAGCTCCACCGAAGGCCCCAGTGGCGACGTTCGCATGCGCGCCCTCCCCACCCAGTACAGCGCTTCGTGGCCCCATTGTGAGCTCCACCAAAGGTCCCAGTGGCGATGTTCGCATGCACCCCCCCACGCCCACTCCGACACACACCTCACAAGTTTCGTGGCCCCATAGGGAGCTCCACCGAATATCCAGTGGCGACGTTCGTATGGCGGCCCCGCTCCATTTCAGCACACCCCTCGCAAGTTTCGTGGCCCAGTAGGGGGTATACCTAAGGCCCCAGTGGCAGCGCTCGCATGGTGGCCCCGCCCAGTGTCGGTACACCCTATACAAGCTTCGTGGCCCTATGAGGAGATCCACCGAAGGCGATACCCACAACGGCGATACTGGCAACTGCATATTCTTGTGTTCTTCGCCGAGATAATTTGAACTACTTCTCCATACACTCATCCCTGGGCCAACTGCGGCGACAACAGACCAACACAAAGACACAAGAACCTGGATTCTGGGGTTCCCTGGGTCACGCTGAATTGACTATCCTCCTTCGCGGACGCGGGTAGGAGAGCCTCGCTGCCCCACCTTGTCGAAATTTCAACCGGAATCGAACGCCCGGCCGCGGTATCCAATGTTCGTCAACACGATGCGGCGACTATGCGCCCTGCGCAGCCAGGCCGCCACCGCCGCTGAGCCACGCGGTTCGGGACCTGGGCCACCTGGGCCACCGGGACCATCCAGGCCACGCACCCCTCCCCTGGCCCTCACGACGCCGCGGGCTCCCTGCCACAGGGCTCGCTCCCTCCCACGTGGCCGCGTGGGCCCTCGCCCCCACCTGCTGACCTGGGCCGAAGGGTAGAGGAGGAGACGAGAGCAGCAGCGGTTGCGCACGAAGCAGCCAACACGCGTGCGCCTTGAAACGGATTCGCATGAGCGGAACCCCCCCTAACTTCGGCTACCAAAACACAAAACAGTTGCAAAAGAAATCTGCGCTGAGGTCTGGATCGCAAATCGTTCGGAGAATTGCTGGGCGGGCCTTCATATTCAGCCCCGTGGTTGCGCAAGAGCCTGAGGAACTGCGGAAACTCCCTGGATGCTGCCAGCCAAACGTTGAATCGAATTCGTGAAGCTTGTATGGCAAACCCTCAGAGTCGGAACTCGGCACATGCCATGCAAATCCTTTCCCAATACACCAATACGTCAAGAACTCGCAATGCGAACTCTGAGTGGGAAACACAGTGCGCCCGTGTCACCAAAACCACTTCTATGCAGTCTCGGCGAACGGGGACACCCTTCCGAAGATAAGACGCAGGATGAAGAAGCAACATGCTTCAATTGATCGGACACACATTTTACGCTCGCGCAGACAGGCCATGCGAAAAAAAAGAGCAATGCCGACAAGACAAATGCGCACGTGCCCGAAACAATCTCAATGAATACAACAGCAGGCAAGCCAGAGCAGGCGGAAGCACGTGCAAAAGGACGCATGTGAAGACACATAGAACACGTGGATGACAAGTGGAACTGGCTGGGCTGAAGACGCAGAAAGACCTGGACGGGGCTGGTGACGCACCGACGCGTTGGCCAAAAACATTCCATCCCTGAAAGTCAACGGAGATGGTTGGGGCAATGGGCGCATCCGGCACCAGATCGGGGCTAAGCGCACTGTATAGGCCGCTAAGTTCTCGGCAAAGGAGTACATCTCTTTTCAATTGTGCCAGGACTCCGAAGTGAAAATGCTGCTTGGGGTCCAAACTCAATGCGGAAGCGGCACAATCGAGACACAACCGGAATCAAAGATACGCGTCAGTGCAATGAGGGCCCCACGCAACGTGGGCATCGGAACGACAAACAGTGCATATTCGATGCCCGAGTATGGCTTACGCGGGAGAAATGTGCCATGCGTCGCCTGTGGCTTGATAGGGGGGTCCTACATGGAGGGGGTCGGGAACGGTCCCATTTCCTGCCCTTTTCGGGCCCCTCCCGAGCCCCAGGGGGCTCGTTTAGGCACCGTTTGGGTACCTCTTCGGACCACCCTGGCCACCCACCCATTTATGACCCCCCCATTACGCATCGCCCAATGCGCCAAGCTTCAACAGGCGCCGGGTGCCTTGGTGAAAGTAGATGGCGCCGCAGTAGATGTACCGCAGCACCTCGAAGACGATGTCGTCGTCGGCGGCCAGGCTGAACCTCCGCCGCTTCCTCCTGGCAGGCAGTCGGTCCCCGGGAGGAGGACGAGGAGGACGAGGAGGAGGACGAGGGGGAGGACGAGGAGGAGGACGAGGGGGAGGGCGAGGAGGAGGAGGAGGAGGAGGAGGAGGACGAGGAGGAGGAGGTGGAGGAGGTCCCCGGTGTCGCCGCACGCGGCGGCCACGACGAGGGCCGAGCGAGGAGGGCCTTGGCAGTGACAGCTGGGGTGCACGGGGCCATGTGCAGCACCAGCCTCTGCAGCTCTGTGACCGACGGCGCTCGTTGAATCCGTCCGCCTCGTTCCCTTCCTCCTCCCTCGAAGCCTGGAAGCGGCGGGCATCGGGGCTTATCCTAGACGTTGTCCTCTCCTCCTTCTCCTCCTTCTCCTCATCCTCCTCCTCCTCCTTCTTCTCCCCTTCCTCTCAGGTTCTCCTCCTCCTCCTCCTCCTCCTCCTCCTCCTCCTCCTCCCTACTGGAAGGGTAACAAACATTGGGTTAGACTCCCAGAGTAGCAGGATCAAGGAGGCCTCCATCGGAATTCGACCTTATCCCCGCCGCCTGAGCGTGGAACACTGTATGCCCCGTCGGTCGAGATTCGAGTTCGGTGGGCGGGGAAGCTGCGAGCCGAGGGAGCGTGTTCTGGTTTTGGCCCGGCTTTGGGCAAGTATGGGTTGACGATCCCAGATCCGTTTGACATCTATAGGGTTGCTGCGTTGCACGGCTTTTCGGATCCTCGGGAGGCCGTGGAATGGTGCGCCGAGAGCGAAGCAGAGAGGCTCGCGAGACGCAGTCCCAGAGGGAGGACCACCTTTCAGGCTTGATTTATGCACCAGGCTTTGGCTGGCCCGGAGGGAGCTTGCTCGATTTTCCATTACGCCCAATACGTCATGCTTCGTTGGATCACACTTCCTCCTCCTCCTCCGATCGGCAACCCGAAGCCCCAGCGGTAGACCAAGCCGGTCAAGGGACATGGGCCATTGGCCCCCCTTCCATCCCTGGGCCGCATTCGAGACATGCCGATTGCTCGTGGCCGACCCTGGACGACATGGACCCTATTTTTCCCAATCATCCTGTGGTGCTGGGCTCTCATTTTGAAAAGACACCGCCCCGCGTCCCTCCTCCTCCTCCTCCTCCTCCTCCTCGGCCTCCTCCGCCTCCTCCTCCTCCTCCTCCTCCTGCTCCTCCTCCATACTCCTCCCTCCTCCTCCTCCCTCCTCCCCTGCGTGCCTCTGCTCTCCGCATGTCAACCAATATGGCACACCCCTCCCACGCTTCGAGGCCCCGTCGGGAGCTCCACCGTACGCCCTAGTGGCGACGGTCGCATGCGTCCGCCTCAACCAGTACAGCGCTTGGTGGCCCCATTGCGGGGGACCCGCCGACTGCACCAATGGCAACGTTCGCATGCGTCCGCCCCACCCAGTAGAGCGCTTCGCGGCCTCAGGTGGGGGCTCCACCGAAGGTCAGAGTGGCGACGGTCGCACGCGTCCGCCCCACCCAGTACAACGGTGCGTGGCCACATAAAGAGCTCCACCGAAGGCCCCACAAGAGACGTTCGCGTGCGCCCCTCCCACCACACCCGGTACAGCGCTTCGTGGCCCCATACGGCCTCAATGGCAACATTCGCATGCGTCCCCCACCACTCACGCCGGCATACCCCACCCGCGCTCCGTGGCCTCATACGGAACTCCACCGAAGGTCCCAATGGCGACGTTCGCATGCGTCTCCCCGCCCATGTCGGCACACACTCCACACGTTTCGTGGCCCCACAGAGAACTTCACCGAAGGCGCCAGTGGCGACGTTCGCATGGCGGCCCCGCCCCATGTCGGCACACCCCTCACACGCTTCGTAGCCCTATAAGAGGGGGCGCGGGGGGCATATCCAAGGTCCCAGTAGCAGCGCCTGCATGGCGGCCCCGCCTCACTTCAACACACCTTTTACACGCTTCGTGCCCCCTATAAGGAGATCCATCCAAGGCGATACCCACAACGGCGATACTAATGACTGAATGTGGATGCGTCCTTCGCCAGGATAGTTGTTGCAGGAAACGCATATTCTGGAGAGAGGGAGGAGGAGACGGAGTAGGAGGAGGCGAACAGGGAGGGCGCCACGATCATCCAGCCGATCCACTCGTCACTCTGTCCATTGCGGGATTCAGGAATGGAATACCGAGCGATACGAAGTAAACTCAAGAACGTGCCAGCGCCAGGGGGATGCCAACCTTTGGAAGCTTGCAAATGAGCACGAACACCAACTCAGGGGATTGCCGCCACTGGGAGAAGATGATCCTAACCTTCGGCGTTGATGGTAGTAATCCTTGGGCCACCTGGGAAGCCCAAATATTACCACCATCGCCGACGTCAAGATAATCTGCATTTGGTGGAGGCGCACCGCCGATGGTTGTGTTCGTGTCAACCGCTAGGCCGCTCTCTCACTCGTGCTTCGTCTGGATCTCATACGGTCGGGAACTGATGCCTGGTGTGGGCCACGTGCTGTGCGTGCTGTGCCGAACATTGGATGGTCAGAACCGCTGGCGCGACACGCTAAAAGCCAGAATCCCGGACCGCAACCCTCCAACAACACCGGGGCCGAACGCCACCGCCAGCTGCCGGCAAAACTACCTGCCGCAACCCCGGCGCCCACCCCACGCGTCCGCAACGCTGGCTCCATGGCTGAGCACTCGCAACTGACAGAGCCCACCAGCGATGGTGGGAGCTCGGCTATTCGGTGCCGATGCTGCGTCTGCTCGTCTTCATTGTCACCGTGTCCGTCCCTCCGTCCAGCGGCAAGGACGCAGGCCCGAACAGAGATAAAACGGGCAACGCAATCCTGAGCTTCATGGGCGACACGGAACCCGTGCAGCTCAGAGACTCGAACTCGGCGGCGTCCGCGAACATGGCGCAGCTCCGCGTGAGGACTTCGCTGTGGCAGTAAAACTCCACCTGGCACAGGTGAGGGCGGGAACGCAACTGCTCAATTTTTCGCAGTGGATGTCTGCCGATTATTTTGAAGAAGCGGTGCCATGGGGTAACCGCCCACTTGCACATCAGCTGGATGCGCATACGCGATCCGATGTTAGTTGGTAGCGGACAGGTATGAATAGGAAGTGGGGCAACATAAACATGAAAAAGCAACGTGCTGGATAGAACGGAGAAGTGAAAGCGCCAGAAACATGTAATTACACCGACGGTGGGACCCCGCATGAGAATCCTGTCGGCTGATTTGGAAACGCCCCTCGTCGTCGTCCTTGTGATTGGTGAAGCGTCCTTACCGTCTCCTCTACATAATTATCTTTCTCGCCCTGGCGCAGGCCCTCCTCCCCCGCTCCCTACGTTACCACCTCCACGCACTCCTGTTCGTCTCACCCCCGCCACCTCCTCCCCTCTCTATTGCAAGAGCGCGCGTGTCGATTCTCCTCGGCGCCGTCGCCGCCTCGGCCAGCGTGGGCGCACTCCCGAACGGCCACAGCGCGCAGCCGTTCAGGCAATCCCGCGGGCTAGGTCGTTGGGACAACCCCGCAAGTTGCTGGGGCGCGGGAGCCAGCCGTTGGGACAAGCCTGCAGGCATCGAGATGTCGCGGCCGCGCTCAGGCGGGATGCAGCACGAAACCCAGCTCTGCCGCGAGCTGCTCTGCCTCTGCCCTGGAACTCTCCACTCTCTTGCCGAACTCCCTGAGCGCCTTCCACAGGGGCACCAGCGGCCCGCTCTCCAGGAACTCCCGCGGGGCGCCCGCAGAATCAGCATGTTCCGCATGCGCGTGGCGCGGGAGAACACGATGTAGAGATGCAGCATTCCTCCTCCTCTGATGGATCGAGCGACTGGCCATCTAAGGAACCCACAAGAATTCGCTCAGATTCCTCTGCGCCCAATGGGTCCGATTGTCCGCACGGATTCCAACGAGCTCTAGAGTCGGAGGAGGGAGGAAAGAGAGAGACAGAGAGAGAGAGAGAGCGAGGGAGGATTAGGAGAAGGAGGAATAGGGGGAGGAGGAGGTGGAAAAAGAGGAGGAGGGGGAGGAGAGAGATGTAGAGAGAGGAGGAGGGAGCAGGAGGAGGAGGGGGAGGAGGAGGAGGAGGAGAAGAAGGAGGAGGAGAGGGAGGAGGAAAAGGCGTTGGAGAATCCCCCTCGTCGGAGCCAGGAGAGATCCAAGCTATTGCGAAGGTTTCTTCGAGGGACCTCCAGTCATCTGGGGCCTTCCCTTCCTCTTTTCCGATCTTCCCTTCCCCCTCCCCTCCACGACCCCGCCCCGCCCCCCCCCGTCCCCCCCGGGCCGACAAATCCCAGACCGGACTTCCTCCATATCCATGCCGGAGGGGCCGGGTCGGATTCCAGCTTGCAGGTTTGCCGGCGGCCCGCTCGGATTCCAGCCTGAGACTTCCTCGCAATTCACTCACAGACGAGGCTCCCGCCTGAGACTTCGTCAAGATTCAGGCCTGAGGAACCCGAAAGCGTTGACATTTACAAGCTTCCGATGACCCGCTCGGATTCGAACATGACGGGCGGGACCCATCGGGAGGGGGTTCCCGACTGAGACTTCCTCGAAATTCACGTACACACGAGGTTCCCGCCTGAGACTTCCTCGAGATTCAAGCCTGAGGAGCCCGAAAGTGACGTCAGATACAAACTTCCGATGACCCGCTCGGATTCGAACATGACGGGCGGGACCCATCCGGGAAGTGGCTGCCGCCTGAGACTTCCTCGAAATTCACTTACAGGCGAGGCTCCCGCCTGAGACTTCATCAATATTCAGGCCTGAGGAAACCGAAAGTGACGACAGTTACAAGTTCTCGATGATCCTTTCGGATTCGAACAAGAGGTGCGGGACCCATAGGGAGGGGGCTCCCGCCTGAGAACTCCTCGAAATCCATTCACAGACGAGGCTCCTCTGTGGTCGATGACCACGATGAGATGGTGATAGTAATGAATGTGTGATGATAGTGATGGTGATGGTGACTTGGTGATAGTGACGCTGATGAGGATGTGTGCGAAATGTGGTGATGATGACGACGGTGATGATGAATGACTGTGTGTGAGAGTGTGATGATGATTATGAATGAATGTGTGTGTGTGCTGGTGGTGATGGTGGTGAGAAGAGAGGGGGTGATGAGGAGGATGAGGACTGCGCTGGGTGCCCAGACGAAACAAGAACCCCACTCAGGATATAGGGAAGAATCCCGAGAATAACCAAAACACCCATGGACGCAAGGGGGTGGAGGAGCCGGCCACGTCAGTACCACATGTG